TTGTATTTAGTGTGTGTGTGTGTGTGTGTGTGGGGGGGGGGGGGGTGTTACTCTTAGAAAAAACAAACAAAATGAAAACACCAAGGCCACCTTTAACGTCATATTTATTGTTATTCAGTTACTCAATAAAACATATACAGATATATACAATATGCAGGAAAACAGACGACTGCACTTTACATATTATTAAAAAAAGAAAACAAAAAAAATCAGTTTTTAAATTGCCGTCACAGTCCTCCATCTATTGTTTTGAGAAATTCAAATTCAACAGAAGCTTTATTTAAAGATTACAAGATTGCCTAACACACAGCAAATTTTCTCTTATTATACATGTGCAATACCAATAATCTTTTTTTCAATTCCCTTATTTATCAATCCCTTGACCTCCATTTTTTTTTCCCTTTTTTTTAGTTTTCATTGGCTGAGTTGTATACAAGTGGTTGAGCTCACAAGATCTACAGAAGAGAAAAGCAGAAAAAAGTATAGAATAGAATAGAATAGAATAGAATAGAATAGAATAGAATGAGGGAAAGACATTCTCAGAAACACAAATGATAGAGAGCTACAACAAACCTTATGATTTAGAGCAGCAAACGATAAAGGTTAAATTTTGCGTCGACAAAGAGGAACAACTTTGTGTTCACAAGGAAAATTGCTGAGTTACATTCAAGCGTAATCCCTCCTTATCCTGCCTTCCTCTCGTTCTCCTTTTTAGTATTTGGGGTGTTTCTGAACCACTGGGCCATATTTAACTGTAATACAGGAGTCAAAGGCCAGGATTTTATTTTATTATTTGGGGGGGGGGAGAGTTTTGACTGACATATGCCGAAGTTGCCATACACATTACAAAGGCAATCTTAGCTAAGTTTAAGAACAGGCAGTAATATAAGTCATAAGACTAAACACTGGTATACAATCAAAGCCAATGACAACTTTACCTCTCTTCTTATGCTTCTCGTTTTTGCGTTCTCCTCCTTTAACATTTCTTATTTTTCTTCAACCAAGAAAAGAAAAGAAAAATAAATGATTTGAGGTTTTCCAGATGTGGGCATCGTTGAGTAGAGCCCCGTGCTGTTATTGTCCAGCAGTTTTCTTAAGTGTGACTGCATGTATCAGAAAACAAAACATGGTGTTCGAGTGTCTGTGAGCATGTGTGTGTGTGCGTGCGTGCACGTGTGCGTGTGTGTAGCTGTATTTGTGTTCCACTTGTGAGTGTAAATGTCTTTCTCTCCCTGAACAGGCAAGAGCGGCACACAGTCGTTCCATCCACAAATTAACATAGTCGCATCCTTATCATGGTTAAATGTCTCTGAATCTCTCTTTCTTGATATTTTCTGATCTTCTTTAATTCGTCCTGCTGGGTCATCGTCTTCTTCTCTTCTTTTCCCCCCTCAAGTTAGTGCCGCCACAAACGTCCCAAATCGGTTTGAGATATCAGAGTGGAGAGAGCGCCACGACGAGACGGGCCCCCCTCGGCCTTTACTGTCCCCGAGCTCATCTGTGCAGTGGACAGACAGGCACTGCAGGTGGTTTCCTCCACTGCTCCCACCTCCTACAGCCCCCGGGGCTCCGGCTCCAGGCTTACTCTGGGTGAGCTCAGATTCTGCAGACAGACAACAACAGAGAGGAAGCGGTTAATTAAGACAGCAGAAAAATGGAAAAAAACAACTTCAAGCAGTTGGCATTCTCTGATTCTGACGAACCATTTAAAGTACACACTTTTAATTAAACAAGTGTCATCTTCACATCCCACTCTAAATCTGCACTGTGAAATTAATTCAACATTATTCCACCACCCATCAATAAGACCCGAATAGGAGGATACAAGCAAAAGCTCCCCTCTCCTCGCATCCGCCTCCCGTCGCCTGATATAAACACGTGAAAACACGGGCGTACGTTAAATGTAAGCGCATATATTTTGGCTGTGGCCAGGCGCGCAAATGTGGAACCCTCCTAATGACCTCTGGTCAGTGGGCCAGAGAGTACCGAGACACCTGTCCTTTAGCCCCGCTTGACCCAATTTACTGGTATAATGATCATGCCCCAGCATCGACCCTGTGTCACCAATGTGTGAAGCGTCATAATAAATGGTTGCAAAAAGCCTTGTGTTCTGTTCAGTGGAAAAATTAGCCAGGAGAAGATTTTTTTTTTTTTTTTTTTTTTAATGTGGCACATCACAATTCATCAAACGTATCTGCCAAGATGCAGACTGTAGCAATCAGAGAGAAAAGAGGCCAGAAATAAGGAAAAGTTTGGAAGCAGGCACATAAAAAACTAAAATAAGAGAAACGCTAGCAAAGAGTTAGTGCTAGGGCTAGGTGTTATGACACAAGTGTTGCATCCTGTGTTTTGGGCTCTGCCTCCAAGCGAGCCCAGAGCAAAGAGAAAATGCGTATAAAGATGTTAAGGATCCTTCACTTAAATCAGTCCGATTAATCTCCCATCTCCTCCCCACACAAAACATACTCTGCGCGGATGGTTGAAACGGATCGGTGTGCTGCACGAAGACGAGGACCTTTGAGGTGCAGGGACAACTAGATGTCTGAGTGTAGAGACAGGTGGAAAACAGCGCTGACAAGCTGAGTTACATGCGTCAGAGAAAGGAGAGGCTGTGATAGACGACAGTCTGGGCACAGAGGCTGCAGATCACAACGCACCAGTCAGGCTAGCGCTCACCTAGGAGAAAAGAGAAGCATCGCGCCAGCCCCTTTCTCATCCCTTACCCTGTGTTCTCTTTTTGCTCATCCTCCTTTGCTTCTTAACCATGTTTTATTTTTGCTTTGCTTACCATTTCCATCTCCCTTCCTCTCTGCCCTCATAAAAGGCTTAGGCAGCAGCGATTTTATGCAGGCAGAGAGAAGGCCGAGCTAGACTAGATAAGACCATGCAGCTAGGACAACCAAGAAAGGCAGGAAGACATGCAGGCGCTCAGGCAGGCTTGCCCCCCAGCCCGTCTGGGCTGCGACCACTGGAATGGAAAAGTGGGGGGATTTGGTGAAAGGTCAGGCAGCCAAGCCTCCCCGTTGTTCTCCATTTCATCTGCATCTCTGACTGCCGGTCTCTGTGAGCTCTTCTCTCTGTCTCCATCTCCCTCCCAAGGACTACAGACGTGGTGTAAGTGGAGGCTGAGGGTGCAGGGGGTAAGGGAGAAATGAGGATTTAGAGCGGTGTTGGTGGCGGTTGTGACAAGATCTCACATTTGCCAGAGGGTCCAGTCATACACCTCAGCACGGCTGATCCCCAACCCCCTGCCAGTATCGCCCCCTCCTCTCCACCGTAACCACTCACACTCCCTCTTCCCAGCACTGTGCCCTCCAGCACCCGCCAGCAGCTCATGCTAGCTGGGCACAGCAGGGTCCGCACCGGCCTGAATAGGCAGCCAAGCGTTCCCGTGGCTCACTGCTGACACACAGCAAACTGACAACACACGCACCCAAAAAAACCACACACACAACACGCCAACCGCTGCTGCCACTGCCATACTCACACAAGCCCTCAGCTGCTGCTCCACGTGCACACACATACGCCTGGCTACATACGGACGTGCACGCAGAAAGACACACACGGGAACCCGGCTACACACATTACTCAGCTTCAACACAAGGACAAAGGTGGAAAATACACTAACAAAAAAAATGTATGCATAGTCTAATACAACAAAATGAGTATTTCCCACAAACATAAATGCATCCTTTCCATATTCTCACAGTTTATTTTACACATATACAAGCATAAGAAATGCTTTAAAAATACTACTAAACACAGGAGAAAAAAAATGGGGTGATTGCCATTTAGCATTAAAAACATATGCAAAATCCAACACACAAACACTTGACCACCACATGATCAAATATATTAGTCAGTATGAGTATTATGAGAGAGACTGTGATTTTATGGGTTGAGGGGGGTAAAAAAAAATCCTGACACTACATTTAAATCGCAAGCATTATCCATGCTGACGGATTTGTTCAAAAGGTGGAAACGACGGTGTGAAATTCTAAATCACACCAGACTAAATCCCAAATCTCCATGACATTTTACAAGCAGGAAAATCTTTTTTTTTTCTTCTACCCCCCCCTCAATAAGATCTATCTTGTTAGGGTTGTTCGCTGACGAAGGTAGAATTCATATCCACGGTAATATCTCAATAATAGGCAATTCATCTGAAGAGAACAAGTGCTTAGCTTCAACAAGCACGCGGGGAAAATACCTAATAAAACGGAAACGGCACAAGCAGCTGCGCCGAGCCACAAATACACCTAAATATCCTTAACCACATTACAGCCACAAAAGATTACCAAAGTGATGTGTTAAGTAGGCACTGAATTTAACGTGATGCTCTTATATCACCATATCAGCACATTTTTATTTGGTACCTGGTGATGATGCTCCCACACACACACACACACACACACACACACACACGCAGGCACAGCAGCAGCAGGGTTGTGGAGCTGTCTCACAGACACAGCCAGAAACAATTTACAGAGATGAGTAGAGCTCGAATGCCATGAAGGCAGGGAGCACAGCGCACAGCTCTGGTTGTCTGGATGACACCAATGTGTCTGGGAGCTGACGGCCTGACACGGGTTTACATGTCATGCCGCACACACTCAACACACCCGAAGCAACGCAGGAAGATAAACAATGGCTGCTCCGAGTCTGTATCCTCCACCCATTAAATAATAAGTATTACAGCGGCAATTAATTTTTTTCACTTACTCTTAAAAATAATGACGACGTATTGAATTTTTTCTAATTAACTGATAGAAGGAAAGAAAAATAAATAAAAATCAATGCATGCCACATATTTGAATCTACAAAAAGCCTCCATCACACACATTTCCCAGGACTCGGGATCTCATGCGGCACACGCATGTGCAACCCCCTCCTTTTTTTGGTTTTTTTTTTTAATCCCGAGCTCTAGACTTCCATGACGACACTTCACCTTTAACCTCACGCTCCTGAGGCCGTGACCCCATCCTCTCTGAACACAAACCAGACCAATCAGAATGCTCCACTCGCTGCGAAAAGAAAAAAAAAAGGGAAAAAAAAAAAACACCCAAAGGCCTCCGCTCCTATGACAGTGTTTGACATCAGGTCAGATTCCTTTAGCATAACAACTAACACTATGGTGTTGTGTGAGGAGTCTGTCTTTGTCAGCACAAAACACCCGTTACAATCCACAGAGAAAAAGCCACAGGAAAAGACGGGCAAGAGTAAAAGTTTTGCATCTCTTCAGGAGTCAGACATAACCAAAGATGAGCAGAACACTTTGCAATCTTCATTATATGGTTTCAGTGAAACCTCAGAACATGCCAAAAATGATCTGAAGCGCTTAAGCCAAATAATATCCCTAAAAACAAAGAGATATGTTGAGGCAAGCCTTAATAAAGATCAGTGGGGCTAACAAAGGTACTGTCCCAGGTATCCATGCACCGGGGGGGCTGCTCCCCCTCATCTCCACCCAACTGCCGAAGTGTGACCTTTCCCTCAGAGCAGAGAGGATATCTGCGGGGAGCAGGGGCACATTTCTTAGGCAAGGGCACAGGGGTTATTTTGGTTTGAATTTCCTCTCTGTTCTCTGGCCTGAAACATAAAGTGGGGGGAAAAAAAGAGAGAGAGAAAAACTTGCCCAGGCAGGCTCTGCCCCCAGCATTTGTTACCTTCTCACCAACAACACACCCATTGCCATCTCCTCAAACTCATACCCACACAAACGCACGCACACACCTCTGCCTCTGGCCACAAGAAGCGCTTAGGAAACCAGACACAAATCAGAACACGGGAAGTGATTTAGTGCCTCCTTCATAACTCACAACCATGTCCGGGACCTGTCCAACATGTCATCCAAGTCAGTGACATATTGATCTACTTCACTGTCTCTATTTTGTTTCACAGCACAGCACTGCGCGCTTCGGTCTTTTCGGAAGGGTTCACGCACACATGAAAACAAAGGCTACTCGAAGATGGTTCGCATGCCTTTGGTTTTTGTTTGGAGTTAAAACAATAATGTGCCTAATTTCGTTTTTCACCACAGCCTGCCACACACACAAAAACAAAACAAAGAAAACCCAAATCAACATGTACAGTGTAAGGAGTAAAATATAGAATATTATACTGTTTATTTTGTATTTTTCTAATTGGTGTTAAGTAGGGACGGTTTTATGGGCAGACATATTTGAAGAGCTATAGATACACAGCTACACTGAAAAAAAAAAACCAACTCCTACACACAGACTAGAATGAACAATGGTTGTGGTGCATGAAAGTGATGGAAAAATTGAATTATTTTCTCTTCCATAAATGCAAATGGTAGCTATTACCTCCTCACTCACCTCGTGAGCGAAACCACAGATGTTCTTTTAAGGGGAAAAAAATAAAACACACACACACACACACACACACAAAACTTCTCTCTATCTCTCTTAGTTTCTCTTGCCCGCCATCGGTTTCTACTTCTGTCTCCCAAGAGAAACAGCTCCAGTGTCATAACTCATTTGTCAGTTCCACAATACAAATTAAACACTGCCTGACGACTACCTGTATGGCACATAACATAACCGCTCCTGGCAGCATGACAACATCTACACCTCTGGAAAA